AGGTGAGCCGTTCACACCCCCCCCCCCCCACTTTTAGAGAGCTGCACTTACTAGCTAAGATTTCTTTCGAGACATGATCTCTTTGCAACGGCGGCGCTAATCCGCTTGCCAAAGTGCTGAGCTCTTTCAAGGATGCTCCTGCATTATTCAGACACGCCGAGGCATTTACCAACTCAAGCTAAGAGGATCGTGACTGACCCCGCCCCCCCCGCAAAAGATGAACCCACACAAAACAAGGGTAACGCTGGAATCTAAAGGAGAAGCAGGCGGCTTCCCTTAACACTAGCCGGTGGGCAACGCTACCAAAGGCAAGCTGATGGCCTCTTTGGCGCTGGCCACCCCAGCAGGCACCAGCCGGAGATCTCTAGCTGCTCTTCAACGTTTTCCTTAATGGGAGATGAAAAGGGGGAGGAAAGGCTTAGCGACTTTGCCAGCAAGACAAATGAAAGCGAATGCTATAGATTTGGAAGACAGAAATGTAACTTTCAACATTATTTTGCTGCGCTAGAATGAAATGTAATGAAATTTAAGAGAGATAGATAAACTTCATGAAATTTAAGAACTACAAATGCCAAGAGATATAAATGCAAAGTCCTTTATTCAGGAGAAGGCGGTCAAATCTGCACATGGAGGATGCCCGGCCTACAGGCGTGAACAGGACCTTGGCGTTGTAATGGATTGCACACTGCCGCGCAGACCCACACAACCGGGTGTTGTCTGAAGCTGTCTGGCTCTGGGCACCCCACCTGAAGAGAGGCTCAGAGGAACCGTAGCAGCCGCAGAGAAGGGCCGAAGCGGGCTCAGAGGGCTGCAAACTCCCTGGGGAGACGGAGGGGGCTGCATACGCCTAGCCCTTAGGAAACACCATTGGGTGGGGGACGTTTCCGTTGAAGCCCACCTATCTGAAAGTGGCTGAGTTGGGAAGCCCATTTCAGCCTCTCCCGGCACCTGACAGGCGTCACAGCAAAGCAACCCGAGGCTCCTTCTCGCTCCCGAGTGCAGGACGCAGCAGGATGGACTCAGGCCCAGGCAGGCATTAGGCAGATTGTGCTTGACCGGCGCTCTGTCCTGGATTTAATCCTGCCTCCTGACACTCCTGTCATTGATCTATCGGTTATTCAGGATGTCCAGGGGATGCCCATAGTGCTCCCTCCTCCTATTTCTCCCCACAATCACCCTGTGAGGTAGGCTGGGCTGAGAGAGAGTAGGGTTGGCCCAAACACACCCTGGGGAGGGTGGACTCGAACCTGGGTCTCCCCATTCCGACGCCTTCTGAACAACACCACCCTGGCTGTGAACCTTGGCTCTATCCCCAAGCGGGAGGTAATGAATGGTTTTGCCTCTTTTCCCCAGATTTGCCCTGCCATCACCCCCACCTCCACCCCCATCCCTCCCTCTCAATGCACCGCATTAAATACCCAACCACATTCA